AGCATGCAGTGGGTTTTAGGATAAATGATCTATTGACAAATGTTGTATATTATTACGAATTATAATGACACTATTATAATTAATTAATTAATTAATTAATTATTATACCCTAATAATGTGAATTGAATTTAAAACTGACACGAGAGAGTGAGAGTATATGAGAGAGAGTGAGAGTGAGAGTGAGAGAGAATGAGAGAGAGAGAGAGAGGAATGCAAGTTGAAACGAGATAAACGATAAAAACTAGGAAGAAGAAATTTTAATTGTTGGCAAATAAGGACGAACACGGAGCCGGTGGCAGAACAGCCCTTGAACAGGTCCCAAGAGCTCTCGGATCCGGATCCAGTCTCTCGCGCACGCGGCTTCCGGTGTACAAAAGAAAAAGCCAAAAATAAGAAAAATAAACGATAAAAAAAAACAATAATAATGAAAACGTGAATTCGGAGACGAGGGGGATCAGCCGGCGAGGACTGAGACGCTTCGCCGACCGGAAGTGCATCCAGCCAGCCACTCGAAGATACAACACAACCTTTTCCTTTTTGTTTCGTCCGTTCGATCGTTTCCGGTCTCGAGTGCGTCAGCGGCGTGTTCGTTTCAGCGACGGCCACCGGAACGAACATTATTGTAAATAAATTAGACCAAAGTATCGTCGGAGCCCGCGAGACTCCGCCAGTGTTCAACGCACGCCCCGCGCGGCGGCCGCGTAATCACGGCGACGCGTTCCGGGAATCCGCGACCGAGACGCGGCGGGGCGCAACATTTAATCCCCGATATACATATATGTATATGCGCATGTATATATATCGATCGACTCTTCTCTCGCGAACCGAGATCGCAACGGGACGCGCCAGAATCGAACGACAAAAAATTCTCTAATTCTAAAAGGCAAAACAAAAGAAAAAGAAGGAAACGAAAAGACAAAAGGAACGCACGAATCTTAGCCAACTCGTGGGCAGTCCTCGTTCAGGCTCGCCGAGAGAATTAATACAAATTAGTTTTTAAACTTGTGTAAAGAAAGAGATGAAAGAAAGAAAGAAAGAAAGAAAGGAAGAGAAACGAATGGGGGAGGGGGTGAAAATGGAGGAAAGGGAGGACACGGCGAGGCGATTTTAACAAATTCGTAGGGTCAACGGTGAAAGTACAGGTTTCCGAGATGAAACATTCTCATAGATCTCGACTGGAACGCGAGAGGATCTCCCGGTGTTCCTCGGCGATCGATTTTTCGCGTCTTCCCGTCTTTTCTTCGCTCGACGACGACGGTTCCCTTCGTTTACCCATTCCCCGTATTCTTCTGTCAATCTTCAAGCAAAAAGGAAATCTTCAGCGTGCGTTCGCAAATGCGCGTCCTCGGTTTCGAGAGTTGTCGCGCGAGAAACGACGTTCTCGCGAAGGAAAGCTTCTCTTTCAAAATCTTACGAGATCTCGAGGATCGAGATTACGAGGTCCTGTTTCCCGCGTGACAACCGAGCGTGTCTTTTCATTGATCGCGACGTAGAGTTCCTACGAACGAAGCTAAAGATTTCTTTTTCGACGATCGATGCCGATTTCTCCGGCGACAGAGCGGAGAAAATGATGATCGATTCCTTTCCGTCCAACGACGACTGTCGGCCAACACGGAAGCGATTACGTTCGCGAAGAGAGAGGGCGAGAGAAAGGGGGAGGGTCTTCGGTTCCGAATCGGAAAGGTCCCATGTAGATTTTGGCTCAGGAATAAGCAGGAGTTAATCACGTTGTACTCGAAACTGTTATTTGCAGCCTTCGGACTGACCAGCGGAACGGAGAAATATTTACCTTGATAAACAAACATTCGAATCGAGATCGGAAATACAACGAGGCGATACCGTGATCTTAGTCGATTAACGTTTAACTTTTTATTGTTCGATTGTCGGTTTGCAAGTTCAGAGGACCGAATCCTCTCGCTTTCTTCCTCCCTGTCCCCTTTCTTGGTTCATCGGTGGCGTCCATCTCTCGGTCGCCATCTTGTTTTTCTGCACCGCGATCCGCGGATGGTCGCGTCGATGATCTTCTTCCTCCCAACCGGCCCTCCTTCCCTGTCCGCCGTCGGAAACCGGAAGTCGTGACGCGTTTCGAACCCCTCGTTGCTCGAACCGCTACAACCTCGGATCGGAGAGTTTCGTCGCTGATTAAGAACCGGTTTATTAACGCTGAATTTTCCAAGAGCGTTCACGTTTGTAAGTATGGATCACTATTGGTGGCGAGTGAGAGGAAGAGTGAGAGAGTGAGAGAAAGAGAAAGAGCGACAGAGAGAGAGAGAGAGAGAGAGAGAGAGGTAGACTGCAAGCGGAAAATGGCGCCGGCAAGATTCCGAAAGATCGTCCCTGTGTTCTTGGTTTCGGAAGGAGGCGAGCTGAGATGATAATTTTTGGTAACCTGGGATTAGATTGTGATGGAGAGGAAAGACTGAAGTTTAATTTAGCTTGCCCCCTTTCGGAGGCCGGAACCTGAGGAATCAACGGAGCATTAGAGGCGTCGTTAACATTGTTTTCAGCTGGAACGTTGTTGCATATAAATTGACGGATTTTAGTTTCCAAGACGCAAGTGGAATGGCGTCGGTGTTATCTGGAGAACGTGAATTCTTGAGCATGATTGTACATCTGTATCGAACGATTTTGGTTTTTCAAATGATATTCGTCGGAAGCACATTGAAATCTTGTTTCCAAGTTGGAGCACGCTTTAATTCTTGTTTTATATGCAATGAACGTATATTCTGGACAATTTGAGGGAAATAGATTTGAATGATACAACGGGAGCTCGAGGGGTTATCGATGATAAAAATAGAGAGAGATAGAGAGGAGAGAGAGAAAGAGAGAGAGAGAGTGCAAAAGCTGGGCAACGCCGTTTCCGTTCACCTGTAAATATCCTGTCCTCTGAATTTGGCACTAATCTGTGCCTGTGTGGTCGGTGTAAAAAGATAACTCGAAGTTCTCGATCAACGCGTCGGTCGATCGCTGAACACCGGACCAGTTTTGAGCGACGAACCTGCGCACCGATCT